AATAAAATCCAAAGTCCTTCCCGTGACTCACTTGCCCTATTCCGTCTACCTGGACACGACGTCCTTCAACACACAAGGGTAGGTCATTTTCTTCCCCACTCACCTTAAATCCAGAGCATCTAGGACATCGCCTGGTACTTAAGAGACAGGTAATAAATGTTTGTTGACAGAATGAATAAGCGAGTGGTTCACAAGATCCCTTGGTCTGAGCCCTGCGTCTGCTCTTCCCTGTCCACTTTCCCGAATCACAATCCCGGTTCCGCTAAGCTCCAGGAGCAGAGAGTGGCAGTGTCTATCCTGCACACACTCTTAGTTGGCGGCAGCACAAGCCAAAGTGAGAGAACCCCAAGAGGCAGAATCAAGAGTGACTAACTCAGCTGGCCTCCTACTGGGGCGGTGTGGGGGGACTCTCTCAGGCTTCTCTTAGCTCACACCTTGAAGAGTTTTGAGTGTCTTTTTTTAATTATTGTAAACCATAAATAGCATGAAATTTACCACTCTGGCCATTTTAAGTGTGCAATCAGCAGCGTTAACGACATTCACAATGTTGTGGAACCACTGCTACTGTCTATTTCCAGAAGCCCAAACACTATGCTTCCATTAAACAGTAACTCCCCATCACCTCTCCAGCAGCCCCTGTAACCCCTGTTCTGCTTCCTCTCTGTATGTTTGCCTATTTGGGGTATCTCACGTCAATGGCCTCATTCAGTATTTGTCCTTTTGTGTCCAGTTTCTTTCACTGAGCACCCTGTTCTCAAGGCTCATCCGTGCTGTAGCACGTGTCAGAATTCCATTTCTTTTTATGGCTGAATAATACTTGAACTTGGTTTTTTCCCCCTTTTTTTCTTTCTTTCTTTTCTTCTTTCTTTTTTTTTTTTTGGAGGGGGAAGGTAATTAGGTTTCTATTTATTTATTTATTATTTAATGGAGGTGCTGGGGATTGAACCCAAGACCTTGTGCATGCTAGGCACTCACTCTACCACTGAGCTATACCCTCCCCTTCGAGTTTGCTTTCTAATTAATTCATCCAACAAATACTCACTGAGAACTTAGTAAAAGGCCAAGAACTGTTCGAGGCACTACTAATATAGCAAAGAACACAAGAGAACACAACGAAGAAACAAATGAATACATGTGTCGGACAGTAACAGGTGCTATGGAAGGCCAATATTGCAGGAGTAACTGCACAGGAAGAGGAGGTCTTAGAGGCAGGGTGGGACCATTCACCTAGTGCCTTGAGAGCGGTGCAAGGACTTTGGATTTTACTCTGAAAAGAGCAGCCAATGGAAAGTTTGGATTTGCAGAGTGACATAATCTGCCCTACATTTTAAAGGATAATTCTGGGTTCAGTATTGAGACTAGACTATGAGAGAAAATGAGGCAAATGAAGTAAAAATACCAGTTAGGGGCTATTCCAATAGTCCAGGTGAAAGGTGACAAGAACTGTACCAGAGTGTATTAGTCAAGGTTCTCCAAAGAATTAGAACCAATAGGCTATATATGTGATAGGTAGGTAGGTAGATAGATAAGATAGATAGATAGATAGATAGATAGATAGATAGATAGATAGATAGATAGATAGATAGATAAGAGAGAGGTAGGGGAGGGAGAGACAGATTTTAAAGAATTGACTCATGTGATTGTTGGCAAGTCTGAAATCTTTAGGGCAAGCCAGCCCTGCAGACTGGAAATTCAGGGAAGAGTTGATGCTTCAGTCTTGTTCTGAAATCCACAGGGCAGCCCAAGCAGGCTGGAAACTCAGTCTTGTAGCCAAATTCCTTCTGAGGGAAATTCTGTTCCATGCCTCTTCCTACATGCTGGGGGTTTACTGGTGGTCTTTTGGGTTCCTTTGCCTGTAGATGCATCACCTTCATCTCTGCCTTCATGTTCACATGGCGTTCTCCCCGTGGACATGTCTGTGTCCAAACTTTCCCCTTTCATAAGGACACCAGTCATACTGGAGGGGCTCATCCTCCTCCAGCAAAACCTCACTGAATTACATCTGCAACAACCCTGTTTCCAAATAAGGCAATGTTCTGGCATATTGGCAGTTAGGACTTCAGCATACAGTTTGGGGAGACCCAATTCAGACTATAACACAGAGTAACAGTTGTGTTATGAGGCTATGAGAAGCAGTTGGATTTGACTGAAGAGCATGAAAGAGAAAAGTCAAGGAGACGCCAGCATTTGACGAATTAAAAGAATCAGTGGGGAGGGTATAGCTCAGTGGTAGAGCACATGTTTAGCATGCATGAGGTCCTGGGTTCAATCCCCAGTACCTCCATTAAAATAAATAAATAAATAAATAAATAAATAAATAAATAAAGACTTAATTACCTCCCCCAAAAAATTAGAAAAGAAAAAAGTAAAAAAAAAATTTAATCAAGTTTACTGAGATGGTGAAGACTTCAGGAAGAGAAAGTTTGGAGGAGGAAATCAAGAGTTCACTTTAGGATATATTCAAAGAAATATATGGATATATTCAAATAAAGACCCATGTCCTATCTGAAGCTCTCACTTGATTTGCAAAACTGGCAGGGAGGCGGAAGGCCCAACTGCTTCTGCAAGAACAAAGCTGACAGAGTCTGGGAGCCTGAGAGTGTTTCTCTTCCCCAGGCAAACACGTCTCCCAGGCAGCCCTTATTTCTGGTCCCCTCCACTTCTGTTCATAGCCCGCCTTCCTCAGCCATTGCTCCAGCATTCAGCGCCTCCTTATGACACCTCCACATAGGTCCCAGGCACAAGTCCACTTACAAAGTTATTCAAAGAAAGGATGAAGTCAGAACCAGCTATGAGCTGCAGAGGTATTCATTGTAACAAACTGTACTTTTGCAAGGAACGTTGAGATTTTAAGTGAACCTTGACAGAAACATGTTTAACAGTTTGGTTGGCCTCAAATTAAGAGTAACCCGTGACTCTGGAATCTACGGTCTATCTGTCTCATTTATGGTCGCTTCCCAATCTGCATGATTTATAGTCAGCACAAGCAAAGATGTGCCTTTATAGTTTTCAGTCACTCTCTATTAGATTCTTAGGGCCAAGTGGAAAAATGACTTCTCCAAATAACAGAAAATTAAAATGTATAATACAACTAAATCACAGCAAAACAGAGTTCTTAAAAATAAAGTTCAGGAAAATAGGTCATCTCTTAAAAGTAAATCTAACTTTAAATTCCATCCTAACTGTAATTTTAATTCTAAAGGCTCTCAGAAAGTTTTGGTCCAAAAGTAGGCTAATTCTGCCATGGGTGTTTCCTTTATGAAATGGTACTATTTCAGCGTGAACGAAAATTTTCAATTTGCTTTTTAAAGGGGTGAGACTGTTTATACTGAGTAAGGCTGTGGTGATGTTCTCCTCTGCGAGGTTCAGTAACCAGCGTGATTCATTAGGGAAGTGGATACGCAGAACAAGATGCTCCCTAAGTCTTCTGGATCCCTAAGGAGCAGTGCTTTCAGGAATCCAGATTCCAAGATGATTCCATTTGGTGGCGCATGTTTCTGAACCCCTCAGACTGTCATCTAGAAGCTGGCCTAAAAGGAAGACAGGACTGTCTGGAAGATCAGCACCATTAGCAGCGGAAGGTCTCTCCTCAGATAACTTTTCTCGGGTCGGATTTTGTGGCTACACTGATACCCCGGACTCTGTCCTTGCCGGGACGACCCAAGGAAGTGGACGAATGTCAGCATCCTGCAGCTGTCACGCTTCACACCTCCGCTAGTTGGAGAAGCCGTGGGTCCCTCGGCAGATGGGAGCCAAAACTGAGGAGGAAAAAGACCACGCCAGGAAAGAGGGAAGAGGGAGTGTCTCAGGAGAAGCACAGGAGCCGGGCTTCGCGTTTCTGGGGCAGAGTGCAGGGCTTTTCTTCTGCCTGAACGTTTCCGCTGCTTCCCTGACAAGCGGCTCTGTCTGGAAGCACAGGACCGGAGCGGAATGCCTAATGAAGCGTGCGGAGAAAGGGGCGCCCAGTGACTTGGTAAGAAGGGCCGGGGCGGGAGGAGAAGAGGAGCGTCAGGTTACAGGTTCACGCCTTATCAAAAAAAATTTGAAAATCCGAGCTGGAGACGCAAATTCTGGGGCCCATGGAAGGCCAGTGGAGCGACCTCTGGCCCCGGCAGCCGGAGTGCATCGCAGAGGCGTCTGCGGCTCGCTTTCTGCGTTCTGCGCTTTGTTCCAGCTCTGGCCTGAAGCCGTTCGGGAAGGCGGGGAGTGGGCTGGCCAAGCTCCGACTCTCCGGGGACCGGCCGGTTTTCTCTTGACTTCCTTAGCATAGGGTCCTTCCGGCCCGGTGCCCGCGTCCGCTAAGGTGCCTGCGGCCACTGGCATCGCGCGGGAGCAGAGGCTGCGGCTGGCCCGCGCACCCCCGTGCGCACCGGTTTAGCGGCGACCCTCGCAGGACCAGTCGCGCCGCTGAGGCCGAGCCCCGACTCCATCCCCGGCCCAGGGGCTCGTCCCCTACCGCCCTCCCTGCGAGACCGACGCTGGGCACCAGGACCGGCTCTGAGCATCTTCAGAGTTGCTCATCTCCCCCTTCGAGTGAGCTGTTGGAGCTTCTCCAGAAGCCTCCCGGGTTTCCAGCTCCAACCCCTAAAACAAACGCCTTTCCAGAAAGCGAGGGAAGGAAGAGAGCATCTGCACGCAGAAAATGAAAATACTAGAACGACCCCGTTCTCTAGGAAAAGGTAATGAGGGGAAGAGAAACTGTGTGAACTTACTCGGAAATGCAAACCAAGCTCCACTCTCGCCGGGCGCATACAAACGACCGGAGGACGAATCGGCCAACGCGCTCGGCGACTTCCCAGAAAGGGCCTCATGAATGAAAATGGGTTGCTAGGCTCCTCGCTTCCTCCCAACACCCGCTTCCCACAAGATTTCCACCGCCGAAAGAAAGCAGGCCGGGCCTGGCAACTGCAGAGCCGGGGAACCGCGCCAAGCCCGCAAGGCCGCCCGCGGCCGTCTCCCGCCTTCAGGACCCTGGAGAGCGGCCGCTGCGCCCTTGGGACCCGCGGCCGCTGCGCGCCTCGCCCCCTCCCACGCCTCACCGCCTTGTCACTTGCATTCGCTGCTTCCCGCCTCCACCTTCACTTTTCTTGGCAACCTCCACTCTTGTTTTTCACAAACAGATTAAACCGTCTTTTTGTTTTGCTCGAGGGGGCCGTTGGTTGGCTGTGTTAGGTTCCGGTTTGTAATTTCACTACATATTAGGTTGACCGAGAAACCTTGAGAGTTCCAAAACGAGAGCCCGAACAAGGCAGGTGACCTTAAAAGCCACTGAGTTCAGTCCCTTGACTCCGTAAATGAATCAAACTCAAAGGATAAAGAGAATTTCCCAAGGTAGGCTGTCAAATTCGTTGCCAGGCTGAGTCCAGAGCCCTGAGCCTCTGACTTCTAAATTAATGCTTCCCTGTACTTCCCAAGAAAATAGTAATTTTGTCTTCACCAAGGCCGCTTAGATCCCCTAAGCAACAAGTGGAGGGTGGAAAGGCCTGTGTTCAGAGAAATAGATGGACACATGGAATGCAGAAAGGGGGACCACAGAGTGTGCACTTAAGTCCTTCCTGGTCTCCCCTGCATCCAGCACAACAAAAGTCAAACCACCAGTTCCTTTTCCACCAGTCCGAGGATCCCACAGCCTTCTGCCAGTGTCCAAGCGTCCCCCGGACACCTGTCACAAGGACACAGTAACCATGTCCAGCTGTGCCTTTGGTGGTAGAGCTCTAGGCACTTTGGAAGGTGGGAAAGGACAGGCGGAAAGAGGCAGGCCGAGAGGAGGAAGAGGCAAAGTGTCCCAGAAGTAAACCAGATTTTCATCCAAATTCTCAAGAACCAAGACAGGTGACACAGGCGCTCCTTTACACCACACCTCACATTTAACATGCCAAAGAATTCCCTGAGAATGTTAGCATTCCGATTCTGATGCTGTAGGTCACGAGAGGGTCTGAGACTCTGCGCGTCTAACAGGCTCCTGGGTTTTACCCACGCCCCTGGTCCAAGGACCACACTTTTGAGTAGCACAGAGTTAGAGGGGGTGACGGAAGAAAGGGAGGAAGGGGGAGAGGGAGGAAAGAGAGAAGAGGGGAGAACCAGAGCAAAGGCCTTTCCTTTAGCTCTCACTGACCTTCTTCTGCAGTCCCAAAGTAATGCTTCAAAACGCCGCAGTGAATAGCACTCGAGACCCCTTTACTTCAGCCTGTAGCCAGATCCAACAGTGACGGTGTGCTGGTTTTGTCTCTTTCCTCCCCTGCCTCTCGCCTTTCCCGCCGTCGGCCCTGCACAGCTCCCAGGCTCGCCCGCTGCCCCGAAGCTGCTCAGCCTCCTTTCTGGCACGCTCTCCGGCTTCGCGCGCTTCTTCTCGCACCTTCTCCAGCCACCCCCTCCTGAAGCTCCCCAGT